CGTGATCTCTAAGACAGCACCCTGAACTTTAGGCACACAAAACAGACAGAGATGCACACACAGAAACTCGTGCATGCACATGATAGATTTCTGTGTCCTGCGTAGTCTATCATATTTTCATATATGGCTGTACCTAGATACAGATCTTCGGGGTATCAGTCATATCAGTCATTTTACTGTGTTTACAAGTGTTACTTGTAAGAACAAGGTGAGCAGGATTTGAATTGTGTTTTTGGGGGATAATGCCATCTGTATCAAGTAGTTCAATTCAGTTTTGTGTTTGTGAATTAATTTACCAGACCTTCTAGTCCAACCATGTTTAGAAACAATAAGCTTTAGCATTGTAGTTTCTTTCATAAAAACAAGTTGTGTTTCGTTTGTTCTTTTAAGATTAATGATTTTGTCAATTTCATCTGATAAAATTATGTTGGGGCCTGATCCTGTCAGAGTTGTATACTTGAAACTTTAGTTTAAATAAGTGAGTCAAATCCTGCTCAGCTTACTTACATGGGTATCAGCTGGCCTGATTAATTTTATTTCCCAGTTATAAATAAGAAGCAGATTCCTTATGGTTAATTGAGTCTTTAATATCACCATAAAAATCAGTATGAGACCAGAATCAGCCCTAGTAGGACTACATACACTCACAAAAAGCTAGCCAGACTTTGCACAGCAGATATTTTGGACATACAAAACAAGAATTGCAATTTGTCTGAAGCTTATCCTACATCAAATTTCTCTATTACAACATCTCTGTTCAAGAAATCCTGTACTAGTTAAAAGCTCTTATGCTTTCCAAGCAGATTTTCAGCTTCAACAAAAGAGAAATGTGTCAGATTGGCATTGTATGCCTTTTGTCCTTTCTGTTGCTCTTTTCTAGATTTAGCAAAATTCAATGGTGGTGTTAAATCAATTTTTTATTTTTTTACTTTCAAGGGAAAAAACACTGGCAAGATTATGTTTTCTAGGGAAGGCCGTGTGTGTAAATGAGAAACAGTGGATAGCAGTGGAGTGATCTCCTGTGGCCCTGCTAGTACAAGCTTTCCCCATATTGTCTCCTGCTTTTATATTAATTACAACTTGCATTATCAGCTGTGAGTCTGTAGCCCAGCAAATAGAAAATACTGCCCCTGGAGACATAGCTTCTTGTATCTATTTTCCATCTCCTTCTATTGTGCTCTACTCAGTATTCACTGCTTTCCTCCTAGTAACACTGCTCTTTAACACAATTAGGTAAGAGCAAGAGGAGTACCATATTTGACTCCCAATTATTAGAACTATTGGGAATATATACATGTGTGCTGTTCACTTGCTGTGGTATCTGGCATTAGTTTAGGTCATACATGTGTGAAATTTTTATGGTATGCACACGTACACAAAACAGACAATTGCATTTTGGCAGATATCATCCCCACTCTTCAATGTGTTTCTGCAAAGTGATTACTAAACTTTCAAGAAGAAATGAGAAGTCATGCTAGGAGTTTGTGTAATCTATCTAAAGCTATGTGTTTGGTTTCTTCTTTTCCTTCTTTTTAAATTTTTGTTTTTCAGTGTGATAACCCAATACAAATTTCATTGAAACGAACAGAAAAATTGCAACTAATATTAGTGGGCTTTAGACTAGGATCCCTTCAGGTACCTCAAATATACTGATGAAGTTTTCTAGTGAAGCACACTTTAGAGGTGCCATTTGGTCATTTTTTTTTCTTTGAGGATGTGCATAAAATAAATACTTATGATTTGTCATTTGGCCAAGAATATTTTTTGAGGGAGGTGAAGTTGGAAATGGTCTAGGGGAGAAAAAGATCAGTTCACTGACTTGTACAATGATCTTAGTCCAAACCAAAAGAATGCTGCCTTATTATGAGTCTGTAAACTCCACCCCTAAAATTATTTGCCTTTTTTTATAATATTAAAGTCTAGCTATTTTTCTGCCTTTCAAATTCCTTCAGCATTCTACTGTTGCATTTAGTAAATATCTTTTCTGTCCTCCAACAAAAATCTGCCAAATAGCTTCCTCAAGAAAACTGTGTCACAAGAAATACATTGAGCTCTCAATCAATACAGTTTGTCTTTCTCAAACCGGATCTACAAACTGAGGTCAAGAGCAGCTCAGCCTGGTAGAGACAGCAAGTGTTTTCAGCTGTGGGAAGTCTCATTCAGTGACCCTATCCAGATTTTTACGGCTTTGTAACAGAAAGGCTGGTCTAGATCTTGAAATATTGTATGATAGGTTTTGGATGACATTCGCCTTAAAACATAGCTGAGCTGTTACCAGCTAATTATTGTAACTTTCGTACATGTGATAAGGAGCTCCAGCAGCAGCCAGCACAAGAGAGCCTGCAGTACACAAAATTAGCATAACTCACTGTGTTCCCTGAAAAGTTTAGCCTAGGTGAGCATGTCGCAATTACTACATTTTCTAAAAGAAGGTTCCAGCACGATGTTGTTGGAGGGCTAAACTCATGCTATGCTATTGTTTCTTTTCTTTTTCATGTATTTCTTCTAGCTCTTTATCTGATTACCATCCGGCAAACAGCTGACGCTAAGAGGCTGCAGAGGGCTGAAGAGCTCCTGTCTGCTGTTTGCCTTCAGCTTGAAGCTATTTGAGTGGCTTCCTAAGTCAGAGATAAAAAGAGAAGCTCATAGGCACAACTGTGTTTTAATCCAGGCTGTAAAGAAACTCGCACAGTTTTTGCCTTTTATTTCCATCTGAACTTTTTGCTAACCTTATATTCAAGTATTTTGTTCTTTTTAATAACACCTGGGCTGCTTCAACTTTCAAGACTTCTCATCTTTCTTTTTGTGTTTCTCTCCACCTGACTCTGAAAAATGATGGTAAAATGTGGGGGGGTTATTTGTTTTTCTTTTTATTTTCTTTTTCTTGTGTTGGTTTTTTTTTTTTTTTTTAGATGAAACTGTGGGGAATAACAGTATTAATTAGAGAAAATTAACACAATAATCTCAATGAATATAAAATACTACTGTTGGGTGGCAGTTTTTCCTGTTGTAGTTCCGTGTGAGGAAAAGTAGATCAGTCTTCTAAGTTTTGGAGGGACTGGTGATTTTGTGCCGTAAGTGCTATTGTGCTGCATGCTGTGCTGACAGGTTAGGCAAATTTCAGATCCTGACCTGTCTTCTGATTTTACTTATGTCTTCCTGTCATGGAACCACATAGGCGGGTGTATATGTGTGTCTGTCTTTGTAAGGTGAAGGGGATTTGGATCCTTCTTACCCTTTGGTCACCTGAGACTTTACTGGGAGCCTTTTGAAGTCCTGGGCTCTTTCCTTTGTCTCTGCTGAGATCCAGGTCGGGCCCGTCAGATTTATGTTGCTGGGTATCGTAGCAAGCCGTTACTTGGCAGTTCTATTCTGTGTTGCTATACAGCATGTGGTACTAATCAGTGCTAGAAGATTACTTTGAGATGTTTCAATATAGATTTTGGGACTTGGTCCCAATCACATTTACACTGTATTTTACAAAGGGTAAATCAGTTGATTATGTTGAATTTATTCCTACTACACATTGATATAGATGGGGTCAGAATCAGTCCTGGTCAAAGAATTTATCCAACTTGTCACTTTCTGCTTTCAGTTTCTCCTCATCCTTTAATAGTCTAGTGTTATTTCACGATGCAGATTTAAACCACAATCAATCCTAAGCAATCTAAGAACCTTTTTTTTTTTTGAGGGGAGATATGTTGTTTGTTGTTATTGAATTATTATAATGTGCTCAATTTAAGTTGTCGCACGCAGGTGACAAGTAATGCAAGTCCAACCCCTACTCTGATCTGTTTCATGTGTTCTTGCTCTCCTTTTCTGCCAGAGGAAATTCCATCTCTTGCCTGCCTTCATGTGGTGCTGATAAAGCTCTTCCTGTACAGTAGAATTCCTGTTTTCCTTTAAGCAACAGCAGGGTATTGGGAATGATCAGGAAAGGGGAGGAGGACAGGAGGAGAATACACTCAACAAAGTAGCACTAAACTTTAACATTAAGTTTTCCTCACTTATGCTTTCAAATAGCAGCTCCTCTCTCCGGGAGAGCCAATACCCAATAAATTAGAAAGCATACGTGAATTATGTGACTTAAGTACAGTAGTTCAGCTCTTACTTAGCCAAGTTTTGCAAACTCTGTAAGTCTGTCTTCTGCATTCCCTTTGTAGTATTTTATGCATAGTAATGTAGAAAGAATTACATAAAAATCACTATACAAGTTATTTTATATAATCACCTGGTGGTTGTTCTTGACAATTCTTGTAAGTGAACTGTTACAGCGATAAATCTAGAAAGTCTCTTGAAATGTGTCATATCAAGGTGGTGGCTGGGGGTGAGGAAGCATTTTTCCTGGTATATAATGTCTCTGAGAGAAAGCTTGCTTGTGAGTTGCCCCTCACAACTTTGTTGGAAGTTTTCCCAGCATTTAAATGGGTGACAGAGAAGTTAGGGAGTGAGGACACACTACTCTCCCATGTGTGTTCTCCTGTACTTCTTGAAAAATGTCCCTCCTTTTCTCCCTGCATAGCTGTAGTCAGTATGGAAAAACAAAGTGTGGGGAGATAGCTTGCATACCAACTATCCTGATCCTAATGAGAACACATAGTATCATAAACTATGTAGGCAGATACTCTTCCCTCCTCTGCCCCCACCACTACCCTGTAGAACTCCTTAAGACACTAAACTTATGGGGTTTTTTTCTGTCCTGAAATATTGTTTTCCAGTACTATTCAAACAATTAAATCCAGACAACTCTGTGGAAAGTTTAAAAAAGAAAAAAAAAATCTGTCCTGTGTTTTAACACGTAAATCTTTGTATCTCCTCTGCTTGCCTTTGCTGAAGAATTATTACACTGTGCAAACAGCATAGGTGTTTGGCACATTTCACAAATGCTAATGTGTATACTTTCCTCCCCTTCCTCCCCTCTTCTCCCGGTTTGCTTTCTGTTCTTCATTTGCTATTGGAATGGGAACCGTGGAAAAAATTCCTTGGCACTCTGACACCAGAATCCTTCATCTTGGAGAGACCACGATGATGCAACCTCAACGCACTCGGCAGGCACACCAGGGCCCTCCAGCGGGGGCCACGCTTCCCAGAGTGGAGACAACAGCAGCGAGCAAGGTAAAAGGTCAAACTTTTTCCCTCCACAAAGTAGGCATGACTAAAATAACTCCAGCTTTTTTCATTATATCAGTACATCTGCCTTAGAGTAAACATGGAGTGGCAGACTTGCAGTATAATCAGCTGTAAGTTAGGGAGACGGTATTTCCTTTTCCTAACCCACTTAGCTGCATTTTATTATTATTTCAAAGCAAAATATCTAATCTTCAAACAAGCTTTGTAATAACAATTGATTAGTTCTGCCAATTCCTTTACAAATTTGGTTATCTACAGTTTATTTTTGTGTGGTGTAAGTAAATACAATGACAGACATACTCTCCAGCTGCGGTGCAGTTGTTTGAGTTGGATTAAAGATGGAGAGTTTAACCTGTAGTTTTATCTGAGAAAGAGACTTCTATGTGAATTTATGAAGCTGCTAAATTATATAAAGTAGAAGCAAACCCTGAATTAGACAGAAAAATGTTTCTTGAAATGTTTGATTGTAGAGATTTGTTTCTGCTTCTGAAAATCTGAATTCTGAATGGTAAATACACCTGAACTGCAAAACCTCTTCTGTATCTACATAGAGTGAAACCCTCTCATGGTTCAGGAGATTTGATTATTATTTCAGGGTTTTTTGTTTTATTTCCTACTACATTGCACCTTATGTGTGGTCATCTGCATCCATGCTGAGAGAGTGTCAAAGGCTGTCATTCTGTTATGATAGTGTTTTACACGTGCTCATTAGAAGAATAAGTGGCTCCAGAAGGTGTAAGAGTCAGGCCTCCAGTGCTAAACGTTGGGTAAAGATGGCCTGCTGTCATTCTTGGATCTTGACTCAAGAGTTTTTTGTTTTTTTGTTTTTTTTGTTTTTTTAAGTCCAGAATTTAAGATAGACTCCATTCTTGTTTTTCCTTGAAAACATGGTAAGCTTCTCCCAGTGAGAGAGACATTACCTCTTTAAGGTCTTATGATCTGGTCTCACCAGGAGATGTTTCTCCTACACCTGGAGTATTTTGCCTGTCTTTTTCCCCATGTGCCCAGCAGAGACAATTGACAGGGCTAACGTCCAACTGGCCTTGCAGGATCCCAACACTGGAGAAGGGAGAAGCCTTCGGGGCTAGAGTTGCTTTGACTATTCCCATGCTGCAGACTGTTTCCCTCCATGATATTTTTCATGCTTAGACAGCAGAAGAGATATGTGATTTCATATCTCTCACATGGCCCATTGCTTGGCACAGAGCTAGCTCCCCTCATCTGCCTGATGATCTGGTGTTGCACCCATTGTGATTCTAGGAACTTTCTAAATTTGTTTCTGGTAGAGTGGTTTGGTTTTGTCTCTTATTTGTAAGAATTGTTTATACATTTGTAATCTTATTGCTGATAGAAAGCAGCCATGGCATAGGGTGTGATCCAACTCCAAAATGAGTCACAAGGATTTTTTGCTATGGGATTAAACTGGAACTGTACAAGACCCAGCAAGAACCACTACAGCTTCAACAGCTAATGATAGGGAGAGGTTGACTGCTAAACAGCATATTGGCTGGCCATAGGCTTGACTGTTGATCAAATGTTTACATGATATATTGTAGCTAAAGTGCTTGGTGTAGCAGATGATTTGCCTGCTTAAAAATGATCCCTTTGATTGGTCAGCCACCTTCATTCCAGCCCTAGGGAAGAAGTTTCCCCACACCTGTATCACCACTCTGCCCCAGGAACCCCTTAAAAATTAGAAAAGTTCCTTCACTGAGCCATGCTTGATATAAAGAAACCCTTGTACCTGTATCTAGGGATCTTGCATTTCATAGTCTGATCCCTTGCCATGTAACTCTGGGTGCTTGGGAAATATTGCTAAGCATTAGAAAAAGCAGTTGATGATTACTACACCAACTTTCCTTTGGAAACGGGTTTCTGCCAATATATATGATTTCAACAAACCTGTTACTCATTTCTGCAGAAGAGGAACAACCTCTGAGGGGCCAAATCAGTCACTAGTGCTGTCCAGCCTAGCAGGGTAAAACATTGCTAGTATGTTTCCCTTTGTGCTCATCTGGGCCTTCTAAAGGGAAGCCAATGTCCAGTGGCAAATCACCATTCCATTCAGCTGTTGGCAGCTGAAAGATTATTCTACAACACCAGCAGAATTCCCATTGGAGATGGCTCTGGATTGCTCTCACCCTCTCAATTGTGGGAAAGAGTAAAGAGAGTGAGGTCTGTCTTGAATTTTCCTTAGGCTTCCTTGAGGGGGGCAGAATTTATCTTGTAATTCCTGAGCAGGTCCCAGGCAGTGAGCTGGTCCCAGACAATGCCAAGAAGGAGAGATGCCTTCTTGAGCTATTCCAGTGCAGTTACTTATTTGGGTCAACTTGGTTTTCCTGCAGTTTTGCCAAGAGCTTCCACAAATGCTGCTTCAAGTATTCCACTTGCCCCAAAGGATTTCTTGGAAATGGGAGCTCATTAGAGAGTCTTGGGTTACATTAGCAACTTACAGTCTTCTCCACTAATGCCTGGTGGCAGCAGAGATTGATTCATCCTAGAGTTAGCCTCTTCTGGCTTTTGAGAGCACTTTTTCCAGGGGTTGCTGCTTTTGCTTTGAATGTATGATGTGTATCCTGTGATCATTTTTTTTAAATTATAATATTTTATTTTTATTTTGTTTTATTCTGGGGAGGGAGGAGATGGAAAGGATTTGGGTGAGTGATGACTTTTTTCAGACTTTCTCTGCATGAGGTAGATCTATTTATAACCTGGAAGAATCTATCCATCCATAATTCTTACAGTTTGAATCAAATCAAAAGGTGTAGGCATTTTGTCTCTTTATGGAGGACAGTCTCTCCACAACAGTGCATGACTGCCCTTTTTCTGCATCAAAAGGGTTAATCTAGTCTGTGTTTGGTATTATTAGAAACATGCTGGCATTGGAAGAGTTAAGTAAAGGGCCTTCAGGCAGTAAATGTTGAAAGATTATCCTAATTTTATTAGTGGTGAGTGTCTATGTTGTTCTTAGCATGTCACCTCACTTGTTCAACAGAAAACTAAGCTATACAACATATTGATCATCTGGCAAGCCAAAGTAGTAGTGATCTGTAATCCACCAAGCATTTATTGACTTTATCCCAGTTCAGATCCACAAATGCAAATCAATGCTGTATAATACTATTTTAAAGATTAGTAATTATGTAGTAGGTCTGATCAACTTTCCGCCTGCCCTGGAAAGAGTTAAATGTATCCGATAATAAAACACTCTAAACATCTTACAAAGGAGAAAAAGGAGAAGCTGATTTAATGGTCTAATGAGGCCATCTTCCAGAGACTTGTTTTGTGTAGGGCTTGCTTTGACCTTTCGCTTTGCTCAGGAGCCCAACGCTTCATTTTTCACATTCTTGCAATTACGTTAACGCTTCAAGCATTTCTGACTCCAAGTCAGCTAGCAACACCAGGCATAACTCAACACTGTGAGTTTTTCTCCTCTCTGTAGATTCATTAACAGGTCACCGGGGTCCCAACTGAAATTTAAAACTGACTGGTTCTGTTGGGTTAGCTGAGTTATAGCAAGGGAGATGGCAGGAAAGGGGGTGAGAGAAGGGGAGGGGAAAGAGAAGACCCTGGGGTTTTTGCCAAGGAATATATGTGTAAAAACTCTAAGTGGAAGATTAAAAGGTGTGTGTAGCTTTATCATCCACCCTTTTCTTTGGAGAGGAAAAAGCACATCTGAAAGTCTTCTGGGGTATTGTGTTTTCTTTATTCTTTGTGAAACAAAGTGAAAACAGCCACTGCCTTTACATAATAAGCTAAATGACTTCTAGAATTTGGCATCAGTTTGTACCACAGTGATGGATATGATGCTCCCAGACTTTAATTCCTATTTAATTTCTTTATGGGATATTGCAAATAACGAATATGGCAGATTATGTATGAAAAATGGGAAATAAATCTTTTTAAGGTTTAAAAACATGTGGTCTACAGGAAAGCACCAGGGAATAATTTCAGTTTCATATTTTATGATACCAGGATTGGTACCATGACCTGATCTGTCATATTCATAGTTAGCTCACTCAAAGAGCCTGATCCATCCAAGTCAGATGGAGGCTGTCTTCCTTCAGGATTTTTCAGGAAGTTCAGCATCTTTTTAGGATTAGACCTGGGATGACAAACTTCACCCATCATAAGTAAGAAGACAGATTAGAAAATTCTGATAGGTTATAGAGCAGTAAAAATATGAGTATCACATCTACTTTGCTTTACACATGTGAGTGAGTAGTTCATTGTTGTGTGGCTTTTTAGGCTTTTTTTTTTTAATGTAACTACTTGTGCTGAATGATCTGCCCCTTTATAAATAATATCTGAGGCTACTCTCTAGGGCAAATCTCAAAGTAGTTTAGAAGTACTTCTGTGCCAGCTTGATGTCGTCCATGATAGCTTTCTTTGGCAAAGACTCCATAATCTGGTTCAGAACAAAGTCAACTAAGATATTAACTGAAATGTAGCATCCATCACAGGTTAACTCTCTGGACTGATGCTTGTTGGAAAAATTAAGTAGTAGTATTTCTTATTCAGTATATATCATCCTGTAATAACGATCATATGCAAATCAAATTTGTTTACAAGACTTAGGTGATAAAGCCCAAAGTTCTATTTTAGTGTTAGAAACTTAACTGGCACTACATAAAGCTTAGACTCAAACTCCAGTAGTTAGAAAAAGGAGAGGGATATGTTGATGTTAGCAAAAATTTAAAAATAACATATTCATGCAAAGTCTTTGGAAGCTAATCCAAAAGCTAATGCTACAACTTTTTATTCCTTATTTCTGTAAGTATGGTTAGCCTGCTGAAGCTAGTATGCATATTCGTCATAAAGATTCAGAACACATTTTTGTTCCTTTGTATTTTTACCTATAAAGCGATAGGGTATGGTTTTATGGGAAGAGAGCTGCCTTCTGTAAGAAAGGAAATTCCTGATAGAAAGGCTCAAACATCCAGACTGAAAAATCAAACTTGCTAATAAATAATGCTTCACTGGAG